GATCTCCTTTGCTTGGAGACTCAACCTAGCTTGTTTCCTCTAGAAATTTAAAAGATTTATATCCAGTGCACAATCTACCAAACAAATATCAATATGTCAAGCAACATGTCACATCGTATCAAACCATGTAAAAACTACTGATTGATGTCAAATGAAAGTTAAAATACATGAAAAATCAGAGGTTAACGTACATTGAACAAAAAGAACGTGTCCAAAACTTTCAAACACCCTAACCCAACAATTGATCAATTTAGGTTACAAAGTAAACAGAAATTAAAAAAAAAAACTGAAAATCAAATTTATAGAACCAATTTTTTCTGCACCAAATCTAATATGCAATTTGAGTACACAAGATACAAACCAATTTTTTGTAGCACGGTTCACTTGTATCAAAATGGAAACCATTTGGAAGTTTCACTAACCAATATGAAAACAAAGAATCACACTGTCTCATGGAAACAAAAGATTTCCCTTACGTACAATGCTTGTAAGGTTTCCAATCCTTATCATGTAGATAAACAAATTTGTTCGTTGAATATGCTCAAATATGAATTAAACTTCACACAAATGAAAGCAACATGACAAAGCAAATTTTAAGACCATCAAAAAATCATTAAGCAGAGATTCGTGAAATTAAAGATTCATAATTTACCCTAAAAGTGAAATATTTATAACAAAACATTACTAAGCCGCAAGCACAACCGTATTCCCACACCCACAACTCACACATGACAAGAAAAATTAAAACCCAAAAAAAGAGAGAAAGAACCCACACAAATTGAGGAAAATATTTATTCAAATCAGGGAAAGAAAAACAAATCAAACTTTAAGAATCCATTGAAGCACATAGAGTCAGAAAGAAAGTCTAAACGGAGGTGAAATCGCAATGTTCAACGTTGGCTTATCGTTAATTCGTGGTCAGAGTAGCTGANACCTCGTCGAATTTCATGAAATTTTCAGTCTTAAGTCTGGCTTAAATGCAGCCACTATCTCACAAGTTAGTACTCTACAATTTCTTATGCCCCTCAAGAACCTAGACGATTTTCAACATCACAAAGCAATCTATTGATCTCCTTTGCTTGGAGACTCAACCTAGCTTGTTTCCTCTAGAAATTTAAAAGATTTATATCCAGTGCACAATCTACCAAACAAATATCAATATGTCAAGCAACATGTCACATCATATCAAACCATGTAAAAACTACTGATTGATGTCAAATGAAAGTTAAAATACATGAAAAATCAGAGGTTAACGTACATTGAACAAAAAGAACGTGTCCAAAACTTTCAAACACCCTAACCCAACAATTGATCAGTTTAGGTTACAAAGTAAACAGAAATTAAAAAAAAAAACTGAAAATCAAATTTATAGAACCAATTTTTTCTGCACCAAATCTAATATGCAATTTGAGTACACAAGATACAAACCAATTTTTTGTAGCACGGTTCACTTGTATCAAAATGGAAACCATTTGGAAGTTTCACTAACCAATATGAAAACAAAGAATCACACTGTCTCATGGAAACAAAAGATTTCCCTTACGTACAATGCTTGTAAGGTTTCCAATCCTTATCATGTATATAAACAAATTTGTTCGTTGAATATGCTCAAATATGAATTAAACTTCACACAAATGAAAGCAACATGACAAAGCAAATTTTAAGACCATCAAAAAATCATTAAGCAGAGATTCGTGAAATTAAAGATTCATAATTTACCCTAAAAGTGAAATATTTATAACAAAACATTACTAAGCCGCAAGCACAACCGTATTCCCACACCCACAACTCACACATGACAAGAAAAATTAAAACCCAAAAAAAGAGAGAAAGAACCCACACAAATTGAGGAAAATATTTATTCAAATCAGGGAAAGAAAAACAAATCAAACTTTAAGAATCCATTGAAGCACATAGAGTCAGAAAGAAAGTCTAAACGGAGGTGAAATCGCAATGTTCAACGTTGGCTTATCGTTAATTCGTGGTCAGAGTGGCTGAGGAATCAATCGGGTTTTCTTGCTAGATGAATGGAAAATATGGAGGAGGCGCATGTAAACATTTCTGAGACAGAATCTAAAGGGATGAAGTAATGGAAAGAGAATCTGAAGCGGCGAAGAAACTGACAAAAATGCACAAGACTGTTTTTCTGAGAACTGAAACAACAAAAAAAAAAAAAAAAAGTAACGTGCGTTGCACATAAATGAAACAGAATTCCGGTTTAATTAAACAAAGTTAAGGATAAAAATGACCTAATATCATTTTTTGGGGGTAAAAAAGAAAAATAAAAGTTTTTTAGATCACCCCACATTTAAAAGTAGTATAGATAGATATAGATGTGGTCCTATGTCACACTGTTTTTTGTTAGATAGCAATAATCCAATTTGAGGGTCCTTAGATTAGGATAAGCTTAGAAGGATTCAAATATTTTCGATATAATTTCTTCATTGTTTACTGTAAGATTCTTCATCGTAAATTTATGTGAGACTTGTCATACAAAGCAATTGTTAAACCATTCCAAGAGTTTTGGCTCGACTTGATTATAGAAAAAATTTGTAAGAAGTTTTTAACGAATTCTTTGTGGTATACTAATTTACCATACATGCTTAGTAGTACAATTTCACAAGTTCTTATTAGTATCCCATCCAATCCAACCATGGGAGGATTGGATTGGATTAGATTTGAATCTGAATCTAACCCAACCCGATGAAAAGTAGTCTGAGTTGATTCAATCATAATAAATAGTATTCCATCTTATCCTATCTTTGAATGAAAAATATTTGTTTTGTGGGCTCCATTCATATGTGTAGATGAAAGATGGTAAAATGACCATTACACCATTTGTAAAAAAATCTGATCCAATCCTATACCAACATTGAATCGATATGTTGTCAATCCAAAATGAGAATGATTAGGTACTTAGTTTTGAACAAAATCCTATTTTAATAAATTGAGTTTTTTTAACAATACAAAGTCGAAAATTTGTTTATAATTTTTGTTAATTGAATTTTGTACAACGCACAATTCATCCCAAAATCATATAAATCGCCCTTCAAAAGTGTAACATCCAAGACATACCAACTGTCATCCAAAAAAACTAATCGAGAAACAAAAACATAATAATAAACAATCACATATTATACATAAGTTTACAAACTGCCTACAATTTGCTTTTATGAAGACCCTCTCTAACAAAAAGGACAATATGGTTTAGGTTTTTAATAGTACCTAAATACATGTATATGCCTTGTGTAAAGAGCATAGAAAATACAAGTAGCAAAGAAGGTGATTAAATATCCATTTATTCGACAAGTGTAACATCTGTTTANCCTAAATACATGTATATGCCTTGTGTAAAGAGCATAGAAAATACAAGTAGCAAAGAAGGTGATTAAATATCCATTTATTCGACAAGTGTAACATCTGTTTAAACATTATTTTTGAAAATAACTTCAAGAAATTGGTAGTTCAGACAGTACTCTATAAACAAATTTAAAATAGTCCATCACAAATATATTTAATCGATCCAAAATATTGTATTGAAATTAATTAACAAAAGATATTTGACAAAGGAATGAAATAGCCGAAATTTCATAAACATGAGAATCAATTGGTGTATCACTTGTTTATTAAACAATCAATTCTAGTACAATTTATGATGATTTTACCAAAATCCAAAGCCTCAAAACCTAACGAAGTAACAACAAACTACCCAACATAGAGGACTCATAATTTTTCCCAATATCAAACACCTGTGTGTACGAGAGAGTGAGAATCTGTTTGTGTGCATGCTACTTTGAATCATTGTGTGTGTGCGTGTGTTCTGAATCCTTGTGCGAGAGGTATCCCTGATGGGGAGAGAGACAACAGAGACGAAAAGAACATGACGAACAAATAGGGGGAGAGAGAGAGAGAGAATCAACGGTCTTGAGCTGCTGACAGACCCAATATCTACAATCGTTATCAGAAGCTACTCCACCATTTCGGTTGGAATCAAGATCTGAAGCATTAGCGGCCAATGATCTGCTATAATCGGTGGAGGCATATCTGGTGGGTTGAGTTTCAATGGTGCGATGGTGGGCTTGTTGTTATAGTGTGTTTTGTGCTTGTGAAAAGATGGGTTGAAGAGGGTTTCAATTGAGACAAATAGAAGACAAGAGAGAGAGAGAGAGAGAGAGAGAGCCATACCCTTAAGAAAAACCTGTTGCCTTCTTCAGTATGGATGAGAGGGGGAAATAATGAGAGTGAAAGGGGTAAAAACCAAAGCTGAATTCACCGTGCAAGGGCTTTTTTGTAAAATTACATATGTATCCTGTTGATAGAATTTTAATCCCATCTACTCCATGGGTTTCATATATCCGATTTATGTGGGATANCGTGCAAGGGCTTTTTTGTAAAATTACATATGTATCCTGTTGATAGAATTTTAATCCCATCTACTCCATGGGTTTCATATATCCGATTTATGTGGGATATTTGCCTTTGAATACATACGGCGCGATAAATTCACACCCAACTATTATCTCACCTATTTTAATAGACCCAAATGAGGTGTATGTGGGCCCCCAGAATAATTTAAGTCCAGTCCCCTATGTTGTCTGTCTTTATCCTATGAAACAAACACCCCCTTGGGGTTTAATCCTTTGAGGAGAAACTCATTTGCAATAGTAGGATTTCTAGTGAAGTAGCATGTCTGCATGTGAAAGATATCCATATTGTTTTAATGGGCTTTAAATCCATTTATATACAATAAGTCTCGCTCCGTGAAGTTTGTGTCAATAATGTACGGATTGTCAAGGCTTCTATGTTATTTCACAAACTAAATGGGTAAGTTTCGTTAATATAAAACACTAGAGTGGAGATTTCTGTAATTTTATCTTACGAAAACGACACCGTGTCTATCTGCAACTGCGATACTTGCAACTCTTTCTTTGCATAGTGCCTCTGAGTTCTTCTTTGCCACTCTTGGCGTCGACCAACCTCTCTCATTCAAATCTCCGAAAATGCTGAAGGGGAGTCTTCTTAAGACCGTAATCAAATCCAACCATATAGTTCGGATTGTTCATCAAAACCAAGGATTAGCATCGATTCTTCGTGATTCGCTGAGACGTTTTTCAACCGAAGCTGAGGAGCCGGGTCTGGGCGCATCCAGTGATTCATTTCTTGAAGTTCCAAACACAGGTCCGCCGGAAACATCCAACGTTTAATCTTTCACTCAATAATTTAATATAATGTTGTTCTTTCACACAAGTTAGGGTTTAGGATTTACGGTTTATATGGTTATATTTGAGAATCAACATACGTTTAAGGTAATGTCTGGTTCAATCTTATTATACGTTTAAGGATAAAAAAAAAAANAGAATCAACATACGTTTAAGGTAATGTCTGGTTCAATCTTATTATACGTTTAAGGATTTAAAAAAAAAAAGGCATTTTTTTTGTTTCGTTTCCTACTCTGTTGAGCTTGGGTTTAGGGCTCAAATATGAATATTTATTCATATAGTGTAATTAGAGGTTTAACATGAATAGAATTCTGGAAATTTTCACTTTTTGGTACTATGGATAATTCTTCGTTTAAATTGTTTTGGCTCATTTTTTTTGCCTTCTTTTTCGTTATTAAGATCAGGCGTTAGAGTATTTATGGAAGGTTTGGTTTTGTAACTGAGAACATGTGGAATTTTCAACTACTGAGGAGTCAAGGGGGCGGCCTAATAAATTTTTTTGTGTCACATGAATAGAACTTCCATTTTTGGGGTTTAGCAAAAAAAAGTTTTTCCAACAGGGTAGCAGAACCATTGAAAAGCATGAAGTTCGTAACTCCATTTTCCAGTTTGTTTCCTCTGTTTTCTCAGATTCCAAATGGATGGTTAGAGTTCCTTTAGTAGTCTCAATTTGGTTTATGTTTTGTTGATTTACATTTACTTATAATTGGGCCGGTTATTACTTGGTTTCAATGTCAATTTTAGTACCCAGTCATTTTCTATAATGAAATTTACAAAAAGTAATTTTGATTCATGGCTAATTGCGATGTCTTTCTCTTTCTCTTTCTTTCTTTTGTTTGAATCAACAAATGACTTTATGAACTGTGGAATGGTTTAATCTTTAGTTCCCCACATTTTTGTTTGTGGTCNTCTTTCTCTTTCTCTTTCTTTCTTTTGTTTGAATCAACAAATGACTTTATGAACTGTCGAATGGTTTAATCTTTAGTTCCCCACATTTTTGTTTGTGGTCTCTCTCTCTCTCTCTCAGGTTTGGTGTATGGGAGATTGACTGGTATTGCAAGAAATACGACCAAGAGTGATATTGTCAATTTGTTAGAAGGGTGTAATTTGACTATGGATGATGTCAAAGTCGATTACAATCGAGCTTACTCCCCAGTGGCAATGTAATGTTTTCCTTGTGCTGTGTTGCATGTATGTTATTTGAATATGCATTTATCTGTGTATGGTAAGATATGTATCTTATTCCCTGCATTTGTTCCTAGGGTGGAACTTGGAGTTGGAATTAATACCTTAACTATTCCATGAAATTTTTTTACATTTCATGTTTTGTGGTTTCATGCAGGATGGTTCAATTTCCTTCTAGGTCTGCCTATGATGCTGCTATTAGGGCAATTGGTAGAAAGGGTCGCTTGTACAAACTGGAGAGGGTAACGCGGCTAATGCCACTGGATAAACACATTTGCAATCACTTTGTGTTATCTGTTGTGATTAATGGGCTGATAATCTTTTCTTCTTTGTTCTTAGATACCTAACCGTTCCCAATGGGATCTCATTGTACCATATGATGGAAAAGCTGTAAGTAGAAGTTCAGGATTTTTTATTTTTTTTTTAAATTGTTCTCTTACTTGAAGTTTGTATTTTCATGTTGCTAATCCTGATCTTAGCTTAAAGGCAGAGAAAACTATATTTGCCTTATTTTTCAATCAACATAAGTCACTTTTATTAGTTCTCAAGGTTCAAGCAGTTGGTAATTGGGATCAAGCCGCAAGATGAGCTGTTTTTGTGCTGGATAGGCATTGTACATGGGTAAATTGCATAAGGAAAATGGCATCCGAATTCTACTTCACTGATGGGCATGAAAAATCTTAAAAATGTAGGACACAAACACAATGAGAGGACAACAACAAATAATGGAGTTTTATATGCATCATTTTGAGTATATTTCTATGTTTATGAAAAATTTTGCAATATACAAAGTCGTNTTTTATTAGTTCTCAAGGTTCAAGCAGTTGGTAATTGGGATCAAGCCGCAAGATGAGGTGTTTTTGTGCTGGATAGGCATTGTACATGGGTAAATTGCATAAGGAAAATGGCATCCGAATTCTACTTCACTGATGTGCATGAAAAATCTTAACAATGTAGGACACAAACACAATGAGAGGACAACAACAAATAATGGAGTTTTATATGTATCATTTTGAGTATATCTCTATGTTTATGAAAAATTTTGCAATATACAAAGTCGATCTTATCTATTGTGCGAGATGAAATCTTTAACTTATGAATAATTATGATATTAAGCAATTACCTACCTGGTGTAGACAAAGTAGTGTAAGGATGCATAATTATTGATGATTCCTTTGATCCTCTCTATGCCTTCCTTTAGTTAAAGACTCCCATATGTTATTTTTGCTTAGAAACAGAATAAAATGTTANTTAAGCAATTACCTACCTGGTGTAGACAAAGTAGTGTAAGGATGCATAATTATTGATGATTCCTTTGATTCTCTCTATGCCTTCCTTTAGTTAAAGACTCCCATATGTTATTTTTGCTTAGAAACAGAATAAAATGTTGTAGTGAATTTTATACTGACCGCTAGTCTAATTCCTCTTAACTATCATACTTGTGTTCATACTATGACAAAAGTCTTCTCTTAACTTTTGAGTTCTGTCGATCGCATGGAGCGGGCATGAATGGAAAGAAATATTTGTTTTTCAAATACTGACACATACATAAAGATGTCAGATACATGTCCAAAAGTTTTAGTGTCCGTTGTGTTACATAACAATGCCAAACACATTTGAATATTTGTTGCACTACATTCGCAGATTGAGATTATTTGATGCGCGTCTCCTTTTCACAGATTTTACTGCAAGGAATCCCTCGCAATGCACTTCAAGATGATGTAGAGCGCTTCCTTTATGGTTGCCAGTATGATGCTACCTCCATCCAGATGTTCGTCAGGTCAGTACTGAATAGATTGCTTTTGATGTCTCATTTGTTCCTTTTTGTATCTTTCTCGAAAGTGAATCCTTTGTTCTACTGTTTCAGGCCGGCATCCTCGGGCCCCATTAAAATGGCGCTTGCACGCTTTCCCTCAAAGACCCAGGCGATGCATGCATTTCTGACCAAGAACAGAGGCTTCTGTCTCAACAATCAAATCTCGATGCGAGTTCTCCAGTGATTTTTTATTATCCCTTAAACTTAGTTCTTATTGGGACAATCTCTGAGATATAAATTGAGGTTAGGACTTGTAGTAGTACTCTATATCACCTACATGATTATGTGCCTCGACACACTCCATAGTACACTTTGAGTTTTTCTGAGTTGATGNTTCAAAACAAGTAGAAGGACTTCAAATGAACAGGTTCAACCGTAGATATTTATATTGTCAAAAGCCCAACTTTTCACCCCAAGGATGTTAAGAAGATTTAAGCTTTCAATGCTCTGGAAAATTATTCTGTCAATGGATCGTCGGACCTGTGGGTTATGGCTCCAACACACTTTCACTGCACTCTAATTTGGTGCCCGGACTTGTAAGTAAAGTGATCCCCTATGCCTATGGCAAGTGATATTATACATTGAATATTTTATGAAATTACTGATCTAACCATTCACATTGATTTGATATACAAAATTTGATAAATAATTTAGCCAACATAACATTGCTAAATTATTTAATGGAGCCAAATCTTTTAATCAACATTTTTTCTTTTACAAATTGAGATTTTCTTATTTCCAGGCCCAACGACCAATTTGTTCTGAAGCAGATGACAGGTAGCAAGGAACTCATTATAGTTGAAGACATGGATGTCTCCTCCAGGTGTCTTAATCTCATTGTAAGTTTATTCCAGAGCAGAGTTCAAGTTCATTGAGATTGAGGCTGCCATAAACACGGTATCTACCTCACATGAATAGCTTAAATATCTAAAATCACACAGCCCCGTTTTGGGAGCAAAACTCTTTAGCAGCTCTGCTCTATGGTCCTTTGGAAGAACTCCGGCTAAGGCTATAGATTTAGATCACCAGTTCAGATCAAAAAGTTTGATCCCAAACAGAAACGCTCCATCAGTTGGTTCTCCAAGAATCTGCAACTCATGAAAGCTAATACTGCCAATGCAAGAATCTAATAGCACTGGTTTGTGACCCTGCCAAACACAAGATATAAACTGCACAAGCAGCAGTGAACTCACATTGCCTCATTTTTCCATGCTCTAGCAACTAGCGTTTCAGTCTATATATGCGATTTCCAATTCTTATCACAGAGTCCGCACCAGGAACACAAATCCAGGCTGAAAGCCTGAAACTCCAAGCTCAAGTACCACGTGCCCAAGTCTGGGGCATGAACGATTTGAAGTACCACATTATAGAGGTATCTTCATAGCTTATATTGCTGTGTACAAATAATAGTCAGCCTCCTCTTCATGCATTCCAGGAACACAGTGTATACCACTCATGTGGTCTACCAAAACATCTAGCACAGCAAGAACTTCACTTACTTCATTATTCGATTTGTCCTCCACTCTGAATCTAGAAACCACATTCTTTATCTCGATCCAACTGTAACCAGGTTCCGTTTTCATCCCTCTATCTTTCATAAGTTTCCTAATGCGTGCTGCCTGATCCCAGCACCTGGTACTGGCATACATATTTGCCAGTTGCAGGTGGGTAGCAGCAGACCATGGTTCCAGTACAAGCCTATTCTCTGCAGCCTCAATTCCTATCAAAACATTGCCATGAAGCCTACACGAAGATAGCAATGACCCCCATATGATAGCATTGGGATTAGTAGGCATCTTTTTGATGAAATCTCGAGCCTCTTCTATCAACCCAGCTCGACCAAGAAGATCCACAATGCATGAATAATGATCCATTTCCGGGTTTATACCATATTTAACCATTGAATTGAAGTAGAACCACCCTTGTTCAACAAAACCAGCATGGCGGCATGAAGAAAGGATGCCAAGGAAAGTAATGGCATCAGGTTTCACCCTGTGCATCATCAGCTCTTCAAAAAGACCAATGGCCTGAGACGCAAGCCCATGCTGAGCATAGCCGGCAATCATTGTATTCCACGACACCAAATCTTTGTAATTCATGTTCTCAAGTACAAACAATGCATCTTTAACAGTCCCGCACTTGCAATACATTGACATCAGAGCATTAGCAATATGGATATACGAATCGAAACCCATTTGAATTGTTTGGCAATGAACGCTCTTTCCTTTACCAAGACACCCGCTACCCGTACAAGCACTCAAGAAACTTGTGAACGTAAAATCATTTGGTGACAGTCTTGAAATTCTCATTTTATGATAAAGACCCAAGCAAATATCAACTTGACATTCTTGCGCAAACCCATTCATGATTGCGGTCCAGGATACTATGTTTCTCATAGACATCTCATCAAACACCCTGCATGCATTGTCCAATGCACAACATTTGCTGTAAAAAGTGATCAAAGAACTTCCGATATAAACATTGCCCATGAACCCATTTACGATTGACATGCAGTGTATTTGAATTCCTACACTGAGAGTTCTTGAAGACCCACATGAACTCAAAGCATGTGATAAAACACTTGCGTCAGTTTTCAACCCTTCTCTGTGTAGCCTAAAAAGCATCAAGATTGAATCTTCCATTGAATTTGAATAAGGGTAATAATCACTAACACGCTGCTCTGAAAACTGGTATGAACTTGTCTGAAGAAAGTCCTGAATGAGGCGAAGATGGCTTTGGCGATTGTCAATAACACTTGGCTTTGAAGCTATGACATCTAAGACTCTCAGTCCTTTAACCAAACCTTTAGTTTTTGTTGATTCTGTTGATTTTTGAGAAGAGAAAAGCCTAAAGTGCGATGATGATTGCAGAACAGCGAAGAAGGGTTTAAAAATGATATCAAAGGGCTTACCTCTGACGCACACTTGAAGTTGTTCAACATTCATTCCTGAGGAAAGCCCATAAATCTCTTATGATCACAATCATAGTCAGCATGCAATCAATCTTCTTTCTTTAAGATTTCCATGTAGTCACAAGCGCAGTTTGACTTTCTCTGTGTCGCCAATGATTATAATAACAGCTCACTTATATTTGATTTGAGGTTTTGAACTCTCATGGGCACCTGCTTCAATACCCATCATCACTTAGCCTATCCAAAACCTCGATATACTTCTCATGTCATACCCAGTTTAAAAAAAAAAAAAAAAAAAAACCCTCATATAATACCATTGGTGTATGATTTATTAGGCAGACTCTTAAATATGACTGGATTGAGAGGGTTAGATGAGTTTGGTCCTTTCTGATTCACGGAATTTCATGTGCCCATGTTGCTTGGATCAAAATGTAAGCTGGTGAAGCTTTTAGCTACTAGACTTTTGCTATTCAGGGTGTAACATTCCACACTTGTGCCGAACAGCATGACACTTGTATTGCTCTCATGCTCGACAACCTTGCTTTCTCGATTCAGGTTGTTCCCATTTTGCTTGTCGTTTAAAACTTAAGATATTCCAATTCATCAAGTTGGCTCATGTGCCATGGATTCAACAACAATTTGAAAGGTTACCGGTTACCAGTTCGAGCTCAAAGTAGGTCTTACCATTAATAATTAATTTATTCTATTGTCTACCCGCAGCGATGGGAGCCCATTAATAGAGTTACATACATTTGGCTTTCAAATCTTTAAAATAACAGATACATCCAGACCATGCAACCTTAAAAGACAATAATATATAGACTAAATTCACTTTTTCTATGTAGCAGTTGTTTTCTATCGTAAAGGGTATCTTCAACGTTGTAGTCCAAACAAAATGTCCCTTTCTTTTAAAACTGACAAAATAAGTCAGTTTATACCTTCATTAATTTATTTAAATGCTTGGTTCTTAACGGTTTTTTATAAAAACATAAATGGTTCATAAAAGACTGGTAAAAGCTCACGTCTTCTGTAACTCTCTTTATATCTCTTGATATCATCGCCAGGTTGCCTCTTATGTTCTTCACTTATTCTGCTTTGTACTTTTTCTGATTAGATTTTGAATGCCCCAACTGGCCGTAAGTTTTTCAGCTGCATTTCACTGTTCCAATAGGNAATGTGCGATTTGGCTCGATTCACTTCGAATAGGCCTTTGGTAGTAAATTATTGGGAAATTTGGAGGCCGATTTAATCTTTATAGCCTTTGATCGATTTCATCAGTTAGGGGTTGGGATGTACTAAATTATGCATGTGAATAGCAGTTTGGATTATGTAAGGGATGAAACCCTCCACTCAGGATTTCGGCTTGACCTCCGCGCGTTCGGGAGTAGCCTTTACCCCTCTTCCTGAGCCGGAGCCCTGGCCTAGCCTAATGTAGGTGCCTAGTGGGTACCTCCTCCTTTGAGTGCAAGGGAGGTCAAGCCGAAATCCTGAGTGGAGGGTTTCATCCCTTACAAAAAGGCGCCTTTTTGTAAGGGGTAGAAATCGCTACGGATCTCATCCCTCCACTTGAAGGATTTAGGCTTGACCTGGGTTAACCCACGCGGGCGACCCCCAGTAGCCTTTACCCCTCAGTGCCCGCAGGAGTTTCGTCCCACATCGACTGAGAGTCGTCTCCCCCCTCGCATATAAGCCCTTGCACTCAAAGGAGGAGGTACCCACTAGCGACCTGATCAGGTGCCTAGTGGGTACCTCCTCCTTTGAGTGCAAGGGCTTATATGCGAGGGGGGGAGACGACTCTCAGTCGATGTGGGACGAAGCTCCTGCGGGCACTGAGGGGTAAAGGCTACTGGGGGTCGCCCGCGTGGGTTAACCCAGGTCAAGCCGAAATCCTTCAAGTGGAGGGATGAGATCCGTAGCGATTTCTACCCCTTACAGGTTTCATATTGATCGTAAACTCATATAGCAAACCAATATTCTCCACCCAATTGTACAAATCTCATCATGTTGGTTTATAGATTTTCAAAGCAATCTTTTGTAGTCAATATTTGATGATCAAATCAATCTTTTGTTGTCAAAACAAGTTTTCAGCTTCAATTTACGTCCTATGTTTGCCTTTCAATTCTCATGTTCATCTATTCACCCCTGACAATCTTTTATCTGCAGTTTTTTCTCCTTTATTTCTTTTTAATCTATCATTTTCCTGAGACTTCTTGTAATTGTAACTATTCCAAAAGCAAAAAATCCAACGTTCACCTTACCACAACTCTCACGCAGGCTCAGTAGAACTTTTGCTATTACTTGTTTCTGATATTATCTGTGATTAATAGTACTCTGGAGTTAGTTCTTGTTTGTGTGATATTATACTCTTGTTTCGCAGGTGACAGTGGTGAATAGAATCATTGTCTATGGATAATTTGAAGTCAAAACAACACAGGAGGGGGAGTTTTATCCCACTTTCATTGTGCCAAAATGTGTGGTCAAGTGAGAAGTCCACGAGAGATTCACGATCAAATGATGATAACGGGGTAAATGTGCAGGTCATTTTGCGTTGCAGGTATTTGTTTTTGATACACTTCTTGGTATTAAATATCTGTGCACTATTGATCATGGTTATGCTATGTAATTTAGGCCTTTGATTGAGGATGAGGTTAGGGTGACAACACCCATGGTGGTTTCTTGTAATGAGCCAAGAAGAGAGGTGTCAGTCAATCAAATCACAACTCATAAACAGATAGACAGAACCTTTATGTTTGATAAGGTTTGGCCACAAATACATGCTGTGTTTCCATTGAAAATCCATCAATTTATCTCCAAATTGGGTAGAGATAGATCACCTCTTGAATTTTCTTTATTTGGGTGGTATAGGTATTTGGTCCGACATCTCAACAGAAGGACTTATATGATCAAGTTGTCTCTCCTATAATCACTGAAGCTCTCGAGGGTTATACTTGGACTATCTTTGCTTATGGTCAGACAGGAACAGGGAAAACATACACAATGGAGGGGGAAGGAAGAAAAGAAAAGGTCTTTTGTTCATGTGTACAATTAGAGATTCATACACTAGTTCTTGTGCATTATGCTTTTGGCCCATTCACCTCTGTTTCTTTTTACTCNCGAGGGGGGGAGACGACTCTCAGTCGATGTGGGACGAAGCTCCTGCGGGCACTGAGGGGTAAAGGCTACTGGGGGTCGCCCGCGTGGGTTAACCCAGGTCAAGCCGAAATCCTTCAAGTGGAGGGATGAGATCCGTAGCGATTTCTACCCCTTACAGGTTTCATATTGATCGTAAACTCATATAGCAAACCAATATTCTCCACCCAATTGTACAAATCTCATCATGTTGGTTTATAGATTTTCAAAGCAATCTTTTGTAGTCAATATTTGATGATCAAATCAATCTTTTGTTGTCAAAACAAGTTTTCAGCTTCAATTTACGTCCTATGTTTGCCTTTCAATTCTCATGTTCATCTATTCACCCCTGACAATCTTTTATCTGCAGTTTTTTCTCCTTTATTTCTTTTTAATCTATCATTTTCCTGAGACTTCTTGTAATTGTAACTATTCCAAAAGCAAAAAATCCAACGTTCACCTTACCACAACTCTCACGCAGGCTCAGTAGAACTTTTGCTATTACTTGTTTCTGATATTATCTGTGATTAATAGTACTCTGGAGTTAGTTCTTGTTTGTGTGATATTATACTCTTGTTTCGCAGGTGACAGTGGTGAATAGAATCATTGTCTATGGATAATTTGAAGTCAAAACAACACAGGAGGGGGAGTTTTATCCCACTTTCATTGTGCCAAAATGTGTGGTCAAGTGAGAAGTCCACGAGAGATTCACGATCAAATGATGATAACGGGGTAAATGTGCAGGTCATTTTGCGTTGCAGGTATTTGTTTTTGATACACTTCTTGGTATTAAATATCTGTGCACTATTGATCATGGTTATGCTATGTAATTTAGGCCTTTGATTGAGGATGAGGTTAGGGTGACAACACCCATGGTGGTTTCTTGTAATGAGCCAAGAAGAGAGGTGTCAGTCAATCAAATCACAACTCATAAACAGATAGACAGAACCTTTATGTTTGATAAGGTTTGGCCACAAATACATGCTGTGTTTCCATTGAAAATCCATCAATTTATCTCCAAATTGGGTAGAGATAGATCACCTCTTGAATTTTCTTTATTTGGGTGGTATAGGTATTTGGTCCGACATCTCAACAGAAGGACTTATATGATCAAGTTGTCTCTCCTATAATCACTGAAGCTCTCGAGGGTTATACTTGGACTATCTTTGCTTATGGTCAGACAGGAACAGGGAAAACATACACAATGGAGGGGGAAGGAAGAAAAGAAAAGGTCTTTTGTTCATGTGTACAATTAGAGATTCATACACTAGTTCTTGTGCATTATGCTTTTGGCCCATTCACCTCTGTTTCTTTTTACTCAATGTTGTACTTTCTATTTTATCCTTGCATGTAGAATGGAGAATTCCACAAGGATGCAGGGGTTATTCCAAGAGCTGTTCAGCAAATCTTCGACATTCTGGTGGCTCAAAATGCTGAGTATAGCATGAAAGTGACATTTCTAGAGCTTTACAATGAGGAAATCACAGATCTTTTGGCCCCTGATGATAATTCGAAATTCTGCGATGACAAGTCTAAGAAGCCGATAGCCCTTATGGATGATGGGAAGGGGACTGTTTTTGTGAGAGGCCTAGAAGAGGAGATAGTATGTACAGCAGATGAAATATACAAAATATTAGAGAAAGGGTCTGCAAAAAAGCATACTGCAGAGACTCTTCTCAACAAACAAAGTAACCGTTCTCACTCAATATTTTCTATCACAGTCCAAATTAAGGAGTGTACTGCAGAGGGGGTAGAGCTGATCAAGTGTGGAAAACTAAATCTTGTTGATCTTGCTGGTTCTGAGAACATATTGCGCTCTGGTGGAAGAGAGGTACAATGCAACTACAGTGTAGAGTACATTCTTTTCAGGGTTATAGTAGATCATGCCATTTGATATTCCCAAATTAGCTCATAATAATTGGTCTTTTTAGTACCTTCGACGAATAAAGAGACACGCAACCTTTCTTAAACAGGGAAGAGCACGGGAAGCTGGAGAGATCAATAAGAGCTTGCTTACACTTGGTCGTGTCATTAATGCACTTGTTGAGCACTCTGGGCATGTTCCATACAGGTATGGAATCTAATCATCCACTGAAATATATGATACAGTGATAAATGTGAAGTGCATGAGCAATTATTTGAGGGAGCTCACTTGGGATATCAGGGACAGCAAATTAACAAGGTTGTTGAGAGACTCATTAGGAGGGAAAACAAAAACATGCATAATTGCCACAGTATCACCATCAGTCCACTGTTTGGAAGAAACACTTGGCACTCTAGATTATGCATTCCGTGCAAAAAGCATCCAGAACAGACCAGAGGTAAAGTAATTTGGTTGTTGTTGGTTGATGTTGTTTTCTCAGTAATCTTTTTGTATGCCGTATCCTTTCAACCACACTTTAGGTGTTTCAGCTTGGTTTCTACTTGTAGGTTAATCAAAAGGTGATAAAATCGGCATTGATCAAAGATCTGTATTTGGAGATAGACCGTCTTAAGCAAGGTTTCTGAGCACTTCCATAGAGGATTACTTTATTTTCTCATAGTAATAGGTTGTTCTAATTTAAATTTCATTCCACATAAGATTATAGATAAAAAATCATGTTTTGTCCCTCACCACCCACCAGAGTTGCATGCTACAAGGGAGAAGAATGGCATCTATATACCGCGGGACCGATACCTGAGTGAAGAAGCAGCCAAGAAGGTCCAGACTCCAAATTGTCAAATACTTAAATCACCTATATTTATATTACACTTGTTTCACATGAAAACATTTTTAATGTATTGTAAGTAATTTAGGCACAGCATGAACTTATTTTTACTTGTTTAGGCAATGGCTGAAAAATTAGGGCGCTTGGAACTTGATTCAAAGTTTAAGGACAAGGTATATATATTCCTTTTCGATAGTTACTGTAATGACAAAGAGTGCTAATCGCCAATATCCATTTGGAGGAGCATTGAGAGTTTACATGTTGTAAGCAGCAACTGATGGATCTTCGGGAGCTCTATATTTATCAGCAACAGTTGACAACAGATCTAAGTGAAAAACTCGAAAGGACCCAGGTTTAGTGTCACTTGGGTTTGATTCATCCTTTCCAGCTTTCTAGTGGATTTTACAGTGCTATTATTTGTTTTCTATCACCACAAGAGACTAACATGAACCATATTATGCTTCTAACAACAGGGAGAATTTGAGCAAACTGAACAAGCTTTGTTTGATCTAGATGGTAGATTTAGACAAGCAAATGACACAATTAAAGAGAAGGAATACTTGATTTTCAATCTCCTTGGATCTGGTGAGTGAAGTGTCATATTTGGCAAATCATTTAAATTCCAGTGCAGAATTTTATTTCAATCTTTCTCTCGCATCCCTGGCCCATCTCCCATTCTGAGGATGACAGTCAAAAGCAAATTATTAAATCCTTGTTTTTGGGTATTGTTTCAAAAATAGCTTGGAGGGTCGAATCTGAAAATAACATCTCTATCTACTCAATTATTGTTGTAGCCTTCATGTTGTCTATAAATACCATCTATTTCGTCTTCTAGAAATTCAAAGCTAACTATATGTATCATTTTTCAAGAAANCATCTATATACCGCGGGACCGATACCTGAGTGAAGAAGCAGCCAAGAAGGTCCAGACTCCAAATTGTCAAATACTTAAATCACCTATATTTATATTACACTTGTTTCACATGAAAACATTTTTAATGTATTGTAAGTAATTTAGGCACAGCATGAACTTATTTTTACTTGTTTAGGCAATGGCTGAAAAATTAGGGCGCTTGGAACTTGATTCAAAGTTTAAGGACAAGGTATATATATTCCTTTTCGATAGTTACTGTAATGACAAAGAGTGCTAATCGCCAATATCCATTTGGAGGAGCATTGAGAGTTTACATGTTGTAAGCAGCAACTGATGGATCTTCGGGAGCTCTATATTTATCAGCAACAGTTGACAACAGATCTAAGTGAAAAACTCGAAAGGACCCAGGTTTAGTGTCACTTGGGTTTGATTCATCCTTTCCAGCTTTCTAGTGGATTTTACAGTGCTATTATTTGTTTTCTATCACCACAAGAGACTAACATGAACCATATTATGCTTCTAACAACAGGGAGAATTTGAGCAAACTGAACAAGCTTTGTTTGATCTAGATGGTAGATTTAGACAAGCAAATGACACAATTAAAGAGAAGGAATACTTGATTTTCAATCTCCTTGGATCTGGTGAGTGAAGTGTCATATTTGGCAAATCATTTAAATTCCAGTGCAGAATTTTATTTCAATCTTTCTCTCGCATCCCTGGCCCATCTCCCATTCTGAGGATGACAGTCAAAAGCAAATTATTAAATCCTTGTTTTTGGGTATTGTTTCAAAAATAGCTTGGAGGGTCGAATCTGAAAATAACATCTCTTTCTACTCAATTCTTGTTGTAGCCTTCATGTTGTCTATAAATACCATCTATTTCGTCTTCTAGAAATTCAAAGCTAACTATATGTATAATTTTTCAAGAAATTTACTGGTTTCTCTGGTGTTTCCACAAGTGAAGTGAGAGTGCTTGTGTGAAACACATCTATTTTTACATCAATACTTCATCATTCAGTGAAGCATATATCTAAGTTCTCTTTGTGACTCCGAATAGCTTTCCTGATGTGACTATTGTTGTTGTCCCTTAGAGAAAGCACTTACTGAACGAGCATTTGAGCTACAAGCCGAACTGGAGAATGCAGCATCAGAGATGTCCATCTTGTTCACCAAAATTGGTTTGTTTTCCTTTTTCTATCTGTTGACCATGTTTGGGCAATTGTGCTGCAAAAAAATGAGGTGTTAATATTGCTTTTTTGTTTAATTGTTTGGCTAACAGAACACAAGAATAATATGGAGGATCGGAACAGAATTCTAATCCAGAACTTTCACTCTGGATTGGCTCAGCAGCTTGAAGTTTTGAATGAAGCTGTTGTAGCTTCTGTAACACAACAAGAGCAGCAACTGAAAGTCATTGAACAAAATACACTATCTTTCTTACCTGCAAAGGCCGGGGTAAATTCACATCTTTTTATACTCATGGTCCGATAAACATGACTGGAACCTGCAAGCAATAATGCGTGCTTTTGTGCATGGATAGGCTACTGCAGAGCTTCAAACGCAGCTTAGAAAGCTACAAGAACTTTATGGTTCTGGTATCAAAACTTTGGATGATGTAGCCGGAGAACTTGATCAGAATTCCCTATTAACTTGTCATAATCTGAAATCTGAAGTATCAAAGAATTCTTCTTGCCTTGGAGATGTGAGTATTGCTTCTTTTATAAGTGACCCTTCTATACTCATCGGTTCCAATGGCTGCATTTCACCTTTATTTCTGCACAGCTTATCAGAGAAATTTCTTTGGAGGCCAAAGCTATACTCAATGATCTACAAATTAACCTAACTAATCAAGGGGAAAGGGTAGCCGCATTTGCACAACAGCAGCATGAGGTATGCAGTGGGAAGTTCGTATATCCATCTATTGTAAATGGGAGCATATTGAATAGTTTAAAACTTTTATTTCTTTTAGTCATTCATTCATTAATTTTTTTTTTCACTCTGCTGAAGGAGCTGAATAATTCATCTTTTCATATTATGTTTCTGCCTGTGTGATGTCAGAGTTGCTCCAGAACTTATCAGNATTTGTTTTCTATCACCACAAGAGACTAACATGAACCATATTATGCTTCTAACAACAGGGAGAATTTGAGCAAACTGAACAAGCTTTGTTTGATCTAGATGGTAGATTTAGACAAGCAAATGACACAATTAAAGAGAAGGAATACTTGATTTTCAATCTCCTTGGATCTGGTGAGTGAAGTGTCATATTTGGCAAATCATTTAAATTCCAGTGCAGAATTTTATTTCAATCTTTCTCTCGCATCCCTGGCCCATCTCCCATTCTGAGGATGACAGTCAAAAGCAAATTATTAAATCCTTGTTTTTGGGTATTGTTTCAAAAATAGCTTGGAGGGTCGAATCTGAAAATAACATCTCTTTCTACTCAATTCTTGTTGTAGCCTTCATGTTGTCTATAAATACCATCTATTTCGTCTTCTAGAAATTCAAAGCTAACTATATGTATAATTTTTCAAGAACNCAAGTACATCTAATTTACTGCATAACAATTTTCCTATATGAAAAAATATACTGGTCTCTTCCCATATTTTTCCAAGGTACGATTAAAGAAGAAGACGACATTATCAACGGTGATCAGAAAGTTGGATTACATTTATGCAGAGTGGAAGACTGTTAATGGAGTTCTTGTTTAGTCCTATGATTCATACTTCTAACTTACATTCTGGTTCACTACTTTCCAGAGGTCTTTGTTGGTGNGGGGTAAATTCACATCTTTTTATACTCATGGTCCGATAAACATGACTGGAACCTGCAAGCAATAATGCGTGCTTTTGTGCATGGATAGGCTACTGCAGAGCTTCAAACGCAGCTTAGAAAGCTACAAGAACTTTATGGTTCTGGTATCAAAACTTTGGATGATGTAGCCGGAGAACTTGATCAGAATTCCCTATTAACTTGTCATAATCTGAAATCTGAAGTATCAAAGAATTCTTCTTGCCTTGGAGATGTGAGTATTGCTTCTTTTATAAGTGACCCTTCTATACTCATCGGTTCCAATGGCTGCATTTCACCTTTATTTCTGCACAGCTTATCAGAGAAATTTCTTTGGAGGCCAAAGCTATACTCAATGATCTACAAATTAACCTAACTAATCAAGGGGAAAGGGTAGCCGCATTTGCACAACAGCAGCATGAGGTATGCAGTGGGAAGTTCGTATATCCATCTATTGTAAATGGGAGCATATTGAATAGTTTAAAACTTTTATTTCTTTTAGTCATTCATTCATTAATTTTTTTTTTCACTCTCCTGAAGGAGCTGAATAATTCATCTTTTCATATTATGTTTCTGCCTGTGTGATGTCAGAGTTGCTCCAGAACTTATCAAGCAACTCAATCAATTTCTAGGCTTACTGTGAACTTTTTCAAGACTTTAAGCATGCATGTCTCAAAATTGACTCTAGTGGTGGCAGAAGAGGAAACAATTGAGGATCAGAAACTATGTGCACTTGAGAAGAAGTTTGAGGTACTTACTTTATTGTGGCAACCTTCCTCGATGTCATGATTAACTCTTGAGCTGCTTCTTATCATTCAAAATTGCTTCCGTAGGAGTACACTGCTAATGAAGAAAGGCAAATATTAGACAAAGTTGCAGAGCTGTTAGCAAGTTCGAATGCTAGGATGAAAAATATGGCAAGTACATCTAATTTACTGCATAACAATTTTCCTATATGAAAAAATATACTGGTCTTTTCCCATATTTTTCCAAGGTACGATTAAAGAAGAAGACGACATTATCAACGGTGATCAGAAAGTTGGATTACATTTATGCAGAGTGGAAGACTGTTAATGGAGTTCTTGTTTAGTCCTATGATTCATACTTCTAACTTACATTCTGGTTCACTACTTTCCAGAGGTCTTTGTTGGTGTTAGAATAAATGGTAATTGGGGATCCCTTATGTAGTTCTGATTAGCTCTTAGAGAGAGTTTGCACCTTCCACTAACCATTGAGATAAATATCCAGGAAACCAATCTGCTGCCTTTCTTTTTTTTCTTTTCCCTGAGATTCTCTCTCTCTCTCTCTCTCTCTCTCTCACCCACACACCCACAAACACACTCAACTCACGCACGCACACAAGCACACAAACACACACCATTTTACTTAATGTTTAAGACTCGTTATATCCGTATTCCCTTTCCCTGTAGTACATTTTTCCTTGAATCGCATCTGTAGGTTGGTATTCTTGACTTGTAAGGGTCCAACATGCATTTCTTTATGAGGTATGAGCCTTAAATTATCCCTTAAATCAAAAATAAGAATGATATGCCATTTTTCCCATCATCAAAACCCTGTTTTTTCATGCATTTTCAATATCCACATTCAATGGCAAGCAGTAAACTCTGCCTCTCCCAAGTTGTCTATCTTCTTTGGGGGAAAACTGGACTCCTATGTTTTGCTTGTTGAAGCTCCACAGTGTTTTCCGTTACTTAGGTTCAAACAGCAGTAGATGACCTTCGAGAGTGTACTTCCAGTAGAACCAGCAAGCTCCATCAGGAAATGTCAAACATGCAAGATTTGACTTCTTCCGCCAAAGGAGAATGGACAAGTTACCTGGGAAAAACAGAAACCCAATACATCGAAGATACTACTTCAGTTGTTAATGGGAAGGATGGTTTGGAAGAAGGCCTCAGACAATGGTAAAGGCAACATCTTGGCCATGGTTATGCTACTTCTTAAATGTGCCAAATTTTATTTTCACATATTGGAAATGCAATTATTAAATCGATTTTATCTGATCTTCGCCTAATATGATATCTAGTATGACAAAGGCAAGATTAATTGCCGAACAATGGAGGAAGGCTCAAGATTCCGCTCTTAGTTTACAAAGAAGAAATATTGACTCTGTGGATACCATTGTCCAGTAAGTATACATTGTGGTTTTGATCAGTTTTAAAGAGAGATTTTTTTTTATTTTTTTCTCATCTTTCTTGGTTTGTTTCCTTAGGAATGGAGTGGAAGGCAATCAAAAAATCAAAGCTCAATTTTCTGCTGTTGTCTCGTCAACACTGGGAGAATCAGATTTTGCAAACATCAATTTACTTTCTTCCGTTGAAGGTAAGTTCCTTCCGAACCCAAATGATTTTCACTTGAAAGCATTTTCTTCATGTTTTTTCTTCTTTGCCCAACATAGCGTGTTTCTATGCAATATCCAGACTGATTTTTCTTTGTGACTGCTAATATAAAACTATAAGCTACCAATGATGAATTTCTTACAGATTTACTGAGACTTGACCAATATGCATTTGAGAAAATCAATTCCCTGATTGGTCCTTCTTGTGAGGCTATGAAAGAAGCAGAAATTTCTCACTTCCACATAGTTTCTGAGATCATGGTGAACGCAGGGAAATGCTTGATGAATGACTACATGGTAAGAACATCAAGAATTGCATTTTGGACTGTCAAAATATAGTTTTCCTTTATGCACAGCAAGAGAACCTTATATGATGGGCTGCCATTTCACTTTATGATGATGAACAAGTTATTGATTGTGGAACCCAATGACAGAACAAATGTCAGCAGAGCAACTACTTTCTCTTTGCCACCCCTATCTGTGAAGGCATCAACCCGTTCCCCACCCCCAACCCCCAATCAATCCCCTTTTCTTTGTGATGGTGCAAGGTTCATTTTTGATCAGATTAATATCCATATGCATTATGTTTCTAACAATTAGGTGGATGGGCCCTCATGTTCAACACCAAGGAAGAGAGCATTCAATATACCTACCATGGCGTGCATTGAAGACCTCAGAACTCCTGCATTTGAGGGCCTGCTGAAATCATTCAGGGAAGCAGGATTAGGAAGGCAAGCCAATGGGAAGGTAAATAATCATCAGGAGTGTATGCATCCATTCAGTCCTTCGNTTCTCTCTCTCTCTCTCTCTCTCTCTCTCACCCACACACCCACAAACACACTCAACTCACGCACGCACACAAGCACACAAACACACACCATTTTACTTAATGTTTAAGACTCGTTATATCCGTATTCCCTTTCCCTGTAGTACATTTTTCCTTGAATCGCATCTGTAGGTTGGTATTCTTGACTTGTAAGGGTCCAACATGCATTTCTTTATGAGGTATGAGCCTTAAATTATCCCTTAAATCAAAAATAAGAATGATATGCCATTTTTCCCATCATCAAAACCCTGTTTTTTCATGCATTTTCAATATCCACATTCAATGGCAAGCAGTAAACTCTGCCTCTCCCAAGTTGTCTATCTTCTTTGGGGGAAAACTGGACTCCTATGTTTTGCTTGTTGAAGCTCCACAGTGTTTTCCGTTACTTAGGTTCAAACAGCAGTAGATGACCTTCGAGAGTGTACTTCCAGTAGAACCAGCAAGCTCCATCAGGAAATGTCAAACATGCAAGATTTGACTTCTTCCGCCAAAGGAGAATGGACAAGTTACCTGGGAAAAACAGAAACCCAATACATCGAAGATACTACTTCAGTTGTTAATGGGAAGGATGGTTTGGAAGAAGGCCTCAGACAATGGTAAAGGCAACATCTTGGCCATGGTTATGCTACTTCTTAAATGTGCCAAATTTTATTTTCACCTATTGGAAATGCAATTATTAAATCGATTTTATCTGATCTTCGCCTAATATGATATCTAGTATGACAAAGGCAAGATTAATTGCCGAACAATGGAGGAAGGCTCAAGATTCCGCTCTTAGTTTACAAAGAAGAAATATTGACTCTGTGGATACCATTGTCCAGTAAGTATACATTGTGGTTTTGATCAGTTTTAAAGAGAGATTTTTTTTTATTTTTTTCTCATCTTTCTTGGTTTGTTTCCTTAGGAATGGAGTGGAAGGCAATCAAAAAATCAAAGCTCAATTTTCTGCTGTTGTCTCGTCAACACTGGGAGAATCAGATGTTGCAAACATCAATTTACTTTCTTCCGTTGAAGGTAAGTTCCTTCTGAACCCAAATGATTTTCACTTGAAAGCATTTTCTTCATGTTTTTTCTTCTTTGCCCAACATAGCGTGTTTCTATGCAATATCCAGACTGATTTTTCTTTGTGACTGCTAATATAAAACTATAAGCTACCAATGATGAATTTCTTACAGATTTACTGAGACTTGACCAATATGCATTTGAGAAAATCAATTCCCTGATTGGTCCTTCTTGTGAGGCTATGAAAGAAGCAGAAATTTCTCACTTCCACATAGTTTCTGAGATCATGGTGAACGCAGGGAAATGCTTGATGAATGACTACATGGTAAGAACATCAAGAATTGCATTTTGGACTGTCAAAATATAGTTTTCCTTTATGCACAGCAAGAGAACCTTATATGATGGGCTGCCATTTCACTTTATGATGATGAACAAGTTATTGATTGTGGAACCCAATGACAGAACAAATGTCAGCAGAGCAACTACTTTCTCTTTGCCACCCCTATCTGTGAAGGCATCAACCCGTTCCCCACCCCCAACCCCCAATCAATCCCCTTTTCTTTGTGATGGTGCAAGGTTCATTTTTGATCAGATTAATATCCATATGCATTATGTTTCTAACAATTAGGTGGATGGGCCCTCATGTTCAACACCAAGGAAGAGAGCATTCAATATACCTACCATGGCGTGCATTGAAGACCTCAGAACTCCTGCATTTGAGGGCCTGCTGAAATCATTCAGGGAAGCAGGATTAGGAAGGCAAGCCAATGGGAAGGTAAATAATCATCAGGAGTGTATGCATCCATTCAGTCCTTCGGCTCCGGAAATTCTCTCAGGGCAGTTAAGGGAGGAGTTAGAACAACAAAACCTACAATAATAGTATTGCTTGGGAAAAACTGACTTATAATTGCACTTACTGCGGCGTTGCTGCTGTAAAATCTGTATAAGGCTCTAACCTTAGGATTTTTTCAAAGAGTTGAAAGACTGTTAGAAGTTACATGTTATTAGAACAAAATTTAAATAGTATGAGGTTTTGGTCTAATAAATCAGTTGAGAATTTNTTTGCAAACATCAATTTACTTTCTTCCGTTGAAGGTAAGTTCCTTCCGAACCCAAATGATTTTCACTTGAAAGCATTTTCTTCATGTTTTTTCTTCTTTGCCCAACATAGCGTGTTTCTATGCAATATCCAGACTGATTTTTCTTTGTGACTGCTAATATAAAACTATAAGCTACCAATGATGAATTTCTTACAGATTTACTGAGACTTGACCAATATGCATTTGAGAAAATCAATTCCCTGATTGGTCCTTCTTGTGAGGCTATGAAAGAAGCAGAAATTTCTCACTTCCACATAGTTTCTGAGATCATGGTGAACGCAGGGAAATGCTTGATGAATGACTACATGGTAAGAACATCAAGAATTGCATTTTGGACTGTCAAAATACAGTTTTCCTTTATGCACAGCAAGAGAACCTTATATGATGGGCTGCCATTTCACTTTATGATGATGAACAAGTTATTGATTGTGGAACCCAATGACAGAACAAATGTCAGCAGAGCAACTATTTTCTCTTTGCCACCCCTATCTGTGAAGGCATCAACCCGTTCCCCACCCCCAACCCCCAATCAATCCCCTTTTCTTTGTGATGGTGCAAGGTTCATTTTTGATCAGATTAATATCCATATGCATTATGTTTCTAACAATTAGGTGGATGGGCCCTCATGTTCAACACCAAGGAAGAGAGCATTCAATATACCTACCATGGCGTGCATTGAAGACCTCAGAACTCCTGCATTTGAGGGCCTGCTGAAATCATTCAGGGAAGCAGGATTAGGAAGGCAAGCCAATGGGAAGGTAAATAATCATCAGGAGTGTATGCATCCATTCAGTCCTTCGGCTCCGGAAATTCTCTCAGGGCAGTTAAGGAAGGAGTTAGAACAACAAAACCTACAATAATAGTATTGCTTGGGAAAAACTGACTTATAATTGCACTTACTGCGTCGTTGCTGCTGTAAAATCTGTATAAGGCTCTAACCTTAGGATTTTTTCAAAGAGTTGAAAGACTGTTAGAAGTTACGTGTTATTAGAACAAAATTTAAATAGTATGAGGCNTGTTTTCCGTTACTTAGGTTCAAACAGCAGTAGATGACCTTCGAGAGTGTACTTCCAGTAGAACCAGCAAGCTCCATCAGGAAATGTCAAACATGCAAGATTTGACTTCTTCCGCCAAAGGAGAATGGACAAGTTACCTGGGAAAAACAGAAACCCAATACATCGAAGATACTACTTCAGTTGTTAATGGGAAGGATGGTTTGGAAGAAGGCCTCAGACAATGGTAAAGGCAACATCTTGGCCATGGTTATGCTACTTCTTAAATGTGCCAAATTTTATTTTCACATATTGGAAATGCAATTATTAAATCGATTTTATCTGATCTTCGCCTAATATGATATCTAGTATGACAAAGGCAAGATTAATTGCCGAACAATGGAGGAAGGCTCAAGATTCCGCTCTTAGTTTACAAAGAAGAAATATTGACTCTGTGGATACCATTGTCCAGTAAGTATACATTGTGGTTTTGATCAGTTTTAAAGAGAGATTTTTTTTTATTTTTTTCTCATCTTTCTTGGTTTGTTTCCTTAGGAATGGAGTGGAAGGCAATCAAAAAATCAAAGCTCAATTTTCTGCTGTTGTCTCGTCAACACTGGGAGAATCAGATGTTGCAAACATCAATTTACTTTCTTCCGTTGAAGGTAAGTTCCTTCTNAGTGGAAGGCAATCAAAAAATCAAAGCTCAATTTTCTGCTGTTGTCTCGTCAACACTAGGAGAATCAGATTTTGCAAACATCAATTTACTTTCTTCCGTTGAAGGTAAGTTCCTTCTGAACCCAAATGATTTTCACTTGAAAGCATTTTCTTCATGTTTTTTCTTCTTTGCCCAACATAGCGTGTTTCTATGCAATATCCAGACTGATTTTTCTTTGTGACTGCTAATATAAAACTATAAGCTACCAATGATGAATTTCTTACAGATTTACTGAGACTTGACCAATATGCATTTGAGAAAATCAATTCCCTGATTGGTCCTTCTTGTGAGGCTATGAAAGAAGCAGAAATTTCTCACTTCCACATAGTTTCTGAGATCATGGTGAACGCAGGGAAATGCTTGATGAATGACTACATGGTAAGAACATCAGGAATTGCATTTTGGACTGTCAAAATATAGTTTTCCTTTATGCACAGCAAGAGAACCTTATATGATGGGCTGCCATTTCACTTTATGATGATGAACAAGTTATTGATTGTGGAACCCAATGACAGAACAAATGTCAGCAGAGCAACTATTTTCTCTTTGCCACCCCTATCTGTGAAGGCATCAACCCGTTCCCCACCCCCAACCCCCAATCAATCCCCTTTTCTTTGTGATGGTGCAAGGTTCATTTTTGATCAGATTAATATCCATATGCATTATGTTTCTAACAATTAGGTGGATGGGCCCTCATGTTCAACACCAAGGAAGAGAGCATTCAATATACCTACCATGGCGTGCATTGAAGACCTCAGAACTCCTGCATTTGAGGGCCTGCTGAAATCATTCAGGGAAGCAGGATTAGGAAGGCAAGCCAATGGGAAGGTAAATAATCATCAGGAGTGTATGCATCCATTCAGTCCTTCGGCTCCGGAAATTCTCTCAGGGCAGTTAAGGGAGGAGTTAGAACAACAAAACCTACAATAATAGTATTGCTTGGGAAAAACTGACTTATAATTGCACTTACTGCGGCGTTGCTGCTGTAAAATCTGTATAAGGCTCTAACCTTAGGATTTTTTCAAAGAGTTGAAAGACTGTTAGAAGTTACATGTTATTAGAACAAAATTTAAATAGTATGAGGCTTTGGTCTAATAAATCAGTTGAGAATTTGGAATTTATTTGTTCGGTTGCATTAATGTTGTAAGGCAACTTCTTGACCATAAATCAACAGATTTTGTGGTCTCTTCTAACAAAATGTTTTTTGGAATATTAATATACGTGTCATACTATTTCGGACGATGCAACATTTCTCATGATCCTGATTGAATGATTGTGTTCTCTTTAATAGTTGACAGAATATAGCAAACAAGACCATTTGACCATTTGATTCAAGCTCAAGCTCAAGCACTGGAATAACTTACTATTTTATAGCTAGTAGCTTGGCTCTCTAGGGGAAAAAATGAGACAGTCTAGTGTACGAGTCTCTCATCGTCACTATGAAGTCTGGGAGTCCCACCTGCTGAACTGAAAGGCTGTTTCTGTAGCTTGGCTGTTTAGGTCCAAATCCCTTTTTGTCATGCTAAATTTGCTTGGGAACATAATAAGTTTAATGAAAATCATTTCCAGTCAAAAATTGAAGTAACTAAATCCTCATAATATTTGAGCAGATTGTCAGGGGGAAAAGCCTTCCAAAAGTGTTTTGGGGACATGTTTCAATTTGAACTTTCCAAGCAAACCATTTAAAGCAAAAACTTAGCTCCCCACTGGCTCCTTCGATTGAAAGCTCATATGATCTATCATTACAAATATGCACTGGTAGCACTACTAAAAATTAAATGGGGATGATATGTGTTTCAAAATGTGATCCCTGAGCATTCCACCTCTTCTCAAGCAGAATCACCCCAATGCATTTCCCTTACTCGTTTCCTAATCTTTGAAGAAGAGGAACAATTGCGCTCAAAATCTTCTTCTTCCCTTTCTCCATGCAAGTAAACCCATAAGTGCCTCTCTTTGTCAAATCGTACACAAGGATCAAATTCATAGTGTAAGCGATCTAAAGCCCCACTTACGACTTGGTTAACTTGTAAATTGGAAATCTCTTCTGTAATGTACTGGGAGTCTCTTGTAAGAGTACAAATATCTGCTCTGGTACCAATACTTCCAGGCAATCTAGCAGCTGCATCTCTCACAAGACAAAGGACGGTAAAATTAGGTGGCCGGTTGTGTTTAAGCATGAAATGCTCTCGGGCTTTTACTGAAGGCTTTCCTCCACACCTCGTCAGAGGAGCAACTATAGATTTCCTACCATCGAGGGCAGTATAAGAAAAGGCCCTGTCAGGAATTAAATACCTCAATGCTTCCTCTGTACGGAAATAAGCCCTTACTTCTTCACAGCTTGGGCTGATAGTGGTGTGACTTTTCAGAATTCTCATGTCCTTGAATCTTTCTATTGCATTGGTGGGTTGCATCAACATCACAGGTGGCGGAGGAAGAGTTCCAATTTGTCGGAGCATCTCTTGGCCTTCTTTTAGCCAGTTAGCAAAGCAATCTACCAGCTTCAGAAGAGTTTTGCGTGGAAGACCCCAAGCTTCAGAAGTTAACACTTCTTCAGTACNATCTCTTGGCCTTCTTTTAGCCAGTTAGCAAAGCAATCTACCAGCTTCAGAAGAGTTATGCGTGGAAGACCCCAAGCTTCAGAAGTTAACACTTCTTCAGTATGACCAGCATGTGGCAGATTAAATGGAACTGGACCAATCCAGGACCAACTTTTGCTAGATTTTTCATATACTGTGAGAACTTTCCAATCTGCTGCTCCAGGAGGTGCTGTTTTAGATGAAAATATCTTCAGAACTCCTCTAATTAAATCCTGAAGTGGCTCCTTTGTTTCAAGGATACGAGAGTCTCCAGGTTTCAATCTCACGTGCTGCACAATTTGATGTATGGTAAGATAAGGCAATTTTTTTTGTTCCACTTGCTCTGAATTGAAGACACTCTTTTCCTGAGAATAAAACCGATTGAAGCCTTCAAAAATTCTGTTCTGGACACCTTTGCGTTGTGATTGTCTTCTGCTCCCTTCCCCAATATGCTCATCAAACACTGAGTCATAATAGTTGGAATTTGTAGTAGTTAGAGCTATGCGAACAGCAGAAAAAAGGTGTACAATGGAAAATGAGAATCCTTTATCAAGGTTGGCTATGGACAAAGCGGATCGCTGCTTCTTTGCTGGTTTTACACTAGATGTCACAGCATCAAAGGCCGTCCTTTCCGAAAGGAGTGAATCATAAATTAACCCACCACCTAATGAGCCAGATTCAGCATTCACTTTCTGTAAAGTTATTGCCTTGCTCAAACCAATAGGTTCACCAATCAACTCTCGAGATCTAGTGAGTAAACAATCATATTTATCCGGTTCATACAAATATGTCACATCTGCTTTCATTTTCAGGTTCTTTGTTGACATCTTGCTTTCTAAAAATTCTAGGCCAAAAGCATATGGGCCACTACTTGCAGAAGCTACAAAATCCTNTTCATTTTCAGGTTCTTTGTTGACATCTTGCTTTCTAAAAATTCTAGGCCAAAAGCAAATGGGCCATTACTTGCAGAAGCTACAAAATCCAGGTGATTTTCATGATCACCCAACTTGTCACACATTTCATGTGAATTATCATTCTTCTCCTCACAAGCATTAAGTTTCCTGTATTTTTTGAATGGAGGCAAATAAAAGTCGACCTCAAGTTTCCGTTTGTCTTGCATTCTCACTGCACTATTGGCCTTTGCTGATGGAAAATTTAACCTTTCACCAGTATCCTTCTTCATCTTGCCACCTCTTCCAAATCTATTAACGAGTTGCCAATTATCTTGAGCTACATTTGTCAATAACTTTCCATCTTGACTGTGAGGCACACCATGTTCCCTCCAAGATAAAGTTAAGCCATTCTTAGCAAAATGTGATTGACAATTGGCAAGTTCTACCAAAGCATGTGCTGCATCTAAATCTCTCCGGTCAGCCCAAGCATATGACAGTTTTGCTGCAAAGCGCTTGCCTCTTATCTGGGTCAGCTGACCCTCCTGATGTAGAAAAACAAGATGGAACCAGAAGTTATATTTTGTCCCAAACTCTTGGATCAGGGCCGAATTTCAGAAGGTTTATCCATAACTGGATCTTTTGGCTTATATGCCGTCCGTGCCAAGCTATCATTTTGAAGAGAAAAACTACAAATTTTAGAAATTTTCCTCACTTTGACAAAGGAAATGTAAGTTTTAACCTTTAAGTACCTTATAGTCCAGAACCTACTTGATACATTTTGCAAGTTACATAGCAACCATGTCACTGTTTCAGTTGCAGTTAATTTTGAAAAATACTCAATTTGTTGCCACCATAACCCGCCTTTTTAATCAAACAAAAGAAACAAGAAAGACAACAACATTAATAATTAAATGGAAACTGCTGAAGCCCTAAGTGCAAGCAATGGCATTAACTCTGCATCAGAAGAGATTGATACATACCAAAAGTTTCATGGATCCTGCAAATGTCAACGTCCTCTTAGCTTCCGGTTTGCATATTTTCCAGTTCTAGCTTCTGCACGTTCAGAAGAGACATCCAGTGCTGGACCTAGAGTATATCCATCACAATGACTGCAAACCTTCATTGAGTTCTAAAACTTCTCGCAGCAATGGTAAAGTTGGTGCCAATGCAACAAAAGTTAACTGAAACATATATAACTCTTCAAATAAGTAATGGTCCATTTGATTGCTAAGAAAATGAATGAGAACAAACTTCGGCTTTTCTACATCTAAATTTGGAGAAACAACTTCAGAAAATATAATAAAAAAAATACTAATGAACGCCAGGAAAAAGTTTCTCCAATTACACAAACCATGCCCGGGTAAAATATATGTAAAACTAATAATAATAACAATGATAAATTTACCTTATTCTCTCCCCCTCCCCCCCCAAAAAAAAAAACAACCCAAAGAAAATAAGGAACTTTTTTCCCAGACAAAAGGAAACACACAAAAGGCCGATTTAAGAGTCCTTCAAGAAGTGACAACCGGCCAAACTTGAATGAAAGGAACAGAGAGAATGTAAGGGATGTTTGGGGGGGGGAATTAGGTAAACAATTCCCCACCCCACTCTCTGCGGAAACTTTTGAAGAGTAACAGTGCTAGCAAATTTGGAATTTTTACTTGAATATAAGGAATAAGTTAAGGTTCTGATTTACCCAAAAGTTATTATGATGTTTAATATGTATGATCCTCAAATCAATAAATTCTTGAGCATAAACCTCATTTGTCATCCAGACAAAAATGTACCTAGTTAACAAACAAATTAAGATTCTGAATATCAATTCCAACAATCGGTAAGTTTTAAAATATGAGAAAAATGAAAGTAAATTTGAAAAAAAAAAAAAAAACAGAGAATCATATTAATAATCAGTTAAAAATTAAATGAATGATATTAGATTCCTGGGTATGATTTGGGAACATTTGATAGCTTTCTAAATTTGGGGATACCAATTTCCTGAAAAAAAAGGTTAATTATTCTAATCTCATGTTCAGCCACACACATAGAATTTTGATCAACTAGAAGGTGATGTGTGTGTGTACATGCATGTATGATAGGCACAAGAAGAAAGAAAGAAAATTACACGCACATACCCAATGTTTGAACTTTGAAGGAATCACTCATTTACCCTTTTATAACCCAATCAATTATCAGATAAAAGAAATGAAAATTCCTCTTTATTTTTCTGTTCTTTTCCGCAGTTTTCCCAGCCACCAAACAGAGCACAGAAGAACATATCAAAAAAGGTTCGATTCTGAGCAATGCAGCACAAAAACATGGAAAGAAAAGAAGTTTTAAAGTTCCAAAGCTCTAAAATTCAAAGCGAAAACCGAAAGATACAAAAAAAAATAAGTTTTGATTGTAATGATACGTACTTTAAACACTCCAAGGGTCGGTTGGCTCCATCAGAGAAACTCCGCAGAGAGAGAAAGATACAATAGAGATAGAGATAGAGATAAAGAGTGAAGCGAGAGAGAGAGAGAGAGAGAGAGAGAGAGAGAGAAGGTGACAGTGAGGAAGACGAAGGAAGCGTTTATATTATATCTGTGTTGAAAAGAAGGAAGAAGGACGAAGGAAGACGAAGCTGACGTGGAAAAATATGGGTCGTCAGATGAAATCTAAAAAAGGAGATTGATTAGAAAAAGACGAAAATGGACAGAGAACATTTAATGAGATGACATAATTCAATACTCAAGATTTTGTCAAACTTTTATATGGTTTTAATAGATATAGATGGACATGTTTCTTTCTTTTTATTCAATAAATGTGTAATATAAATTTTTATTATTTTTATAATCAATGTATATAATTTTTTTTATCAAGACACTATCACAAGGGTGGAGAGATGGACGACGAAGTTCGAANAAAAAAAAGGTTAATTATTCTAATCTCATGTTCAGCCACACACATAGAATTTTGATCAACTAGAAGGTGATGTGTGTGTGTACATGCATGTATGATAGGCACAAGAAGAAAGAAAGAAAATTACACGCACATACACAATGTTTGAACTTTGAAGGAATCACNTTCAGTTGCAGTTAATTTTGAAAAATACTCAATTTGTTGCCACCATAACCCGCCTTTTTAATCAAACAAAAGAAACAAGAAAGACAACAACATTAATAATTAAATGGAAACTGCTGAAGCCCTAAGTGCAAGCAATGGCATTAACTCTGCATCAGAAGAGATTGATACATACCAAAAGTTTCATGGATCCTGCAAATGTCAACGTCCTCTTAGCTTCCGGTTTGCATATTTTCCAGTTCTAGCTTCTGCACGTTCAGAAGAGACATCCAGTGCTGGACCTAGAGTATATCCATCACAATGACTGCAAACCTTCATTGAGTTCTAAAACTTCTCGCAGCAATGGTAAAGTTGGTGCCAATGCAACAAAAGTTAACTGAAACATATATAACTCTTCAAATAAGTAATGGTCCATTTGATTGCTAAGAAAATGAATGAGAACAAACTTCGGCTTTTCTACATCTAAATTTGGAGAAACAACTTCAGAAAATATAATAAAAAAAATACTAATGAACGCCAGGAAAAAGTTTCTCCAATTACACAAACCATGCCCGGGTAAAATATATGTAAAACTAATAATAATAACAATGATAAATTTACCTTATTCTCTCCCCCTCCCCCCCCAAAAAAAAAAACAACCCAAAGAAAATAAGGAACTTTTTTCCCAGACAAAAGGAAACACACAAAAGGCCGATTTAAGAGTCCTTCAAGAAGTGACAACCGGCCAAACTTGAATGAAAGGAACAGAGAGAATGTAAGGGATGTTTGGGGGGGGAAATTAGGTAAACAATTCCCCACCCCACTCTCTGCGGAAACTTTTGAAGAGTAACAGTGCTAGCAAATTTGGAATTTTTACTTGAATATAAGGAATAAGTTAAGGTTCTGATTTACCCAAAAGTTATTATGATGTTTAATATGTATGATCCTCAAATCAATAAATTCTTGAGCATAAACCTCATTTGTCATCCAGACAAAAATGTACCTAGTTAACAAACAAATTAAGATTCTGAATATCAATTCCAACAATCGGTAAGTTTTAAAATATGAGAAAAATGAAAGTAAATTTGAAAAAAAAAAAAAAACAGAGAATCATATTAATAATCAGTTAAAAATTAAATGAATGATATTAGATTCCTGGGTATGATTTGGGAACATTTGATAGCTTTCTAAATTTGGGGATACCAATTTCCTGAAAAAAAAAGGTTAATTATTCTAATCTCATGTTCAGCCACACACATAGAATTTTGATCAACTAGAAGGTGATGTGTGTGTGTACATGCATGTATGATAGGCACAAGAAGAAAGAAAGAAAATTACACGCACATACCCAATGTTTGAACTTTGAAGGAATCACTCATTTACCCTTTTATAACCCAATCAATTATCAGATAAAAGAAATGAAAATTCCTCTTTATTTTTCTGTTCTTTTCCGCAGTTTTCCCAGCCACCAAACAGAGCACAGAAGAACATATCAAAAAAGGTTCGATTCTGAGCAATGCAGCACAAAAACATGGAAAGAAAAGAAGTTTTAAAGTTCCAAAGCTCTAAAATTCAAAGCGAAAACCGAAAGATACAAAAAAAAAATAAGTTTTGATTGTAATGATACGTACTTTAAACACTCCAAGGGTCGGTTGGCTCCATCAGAGAAACTCCGCAGAGAAAGAAAGATACAATAGAGATAGAGATAGAGATAAAGAGTGAAGCGACAGAGAGAGAGAAGGTGACAGTGAGGAAGACGAAGGAAGCGTTTATATTATATCTGTGTTGAAAAGTAGGAAGAAGGACGAAGGAAGACGAAGCTGACGTGGAAAAATATGGGTCGTCAGATGAAATCTAAAAAAGGAGATTGATTAGAAAAAGACGAAAATGGACAGAGAACATTTAATGAGATGACATAATTCAATACTCAAGATTTTGTCAACCTTTTATATGGTTTTAATAGATATAGATGGACATGTTTCTTTCTTTTTATTCAATAAATGTGTAATATAAATTTTTATTATTTTTATAATCAATGTTTATAAATTTTTTTTATCAAGACACTATCACAAGGGTGGAGTGATGGACGACGAAATTCGAATTCGCAATTTTAAAGTTCAACAATCAGAACAATGAACATTAAATTAACTACTAGCCTTATCAATGTTTTATACATGATTAAAACAAAAAATTAATGATTCAAAGTGAATTTTAGATAGTCTAGTTGAAGTTGTTTTTAGTACAAAATATCACAATTCAATACAAAAATTATGAATCTAATAGATAATTAACCTAACGACGGAGGTAGAATCGAATCAGAGTCAGAGACAGAGTTGAATTTTTGGACAGTTACACACCCCTATAATAAGGATATAATAATTAGTTGACAACTTATTAANTATAATAAGAATATAATAATTAGTTGACAACTTATTAAGATAATGATGATATAAAATAATTTCATGCTTAAATAAGCAAAAGTGGTTATTATGTTGGATGCATTTATTGGTTTTTCCACATTATTTAGTATGCTCAATGAAGATATTATTTTCTCCTAAATATATATTTTCCCAACAAAGCATTTGATTTTGAGCAGAGGAAGGGGAAAAAGACAGTGCATTAACTAAAAGTTTAGTATATTGGAGGTGAAAAATTATCCCTTTACATCAGAGTCCAAAATGATGGCTACTCAATGTGGGGGTTAGTGTGAAAAAATAAAAAACCATCTTTAAGTTATCCCTATGTTGGTAACTCTCTAATATAGGGAGAAATTCTAGACTCGACCTTTTACCTAGAGAAGAATGAGCCAACGACTTATAGTTAGTCACTTAATTAAGAAAATCAATCGAAGTTTGTGACAAAAGTGAATCTTCTTAGGGTAATTGTAATTAGTCGCATGAGATCATTCACCAAGTATTCATCTACCCAATTCTGACCTATTCTTATTGAT